ACCCCGCCAGCGCCCAGGAACCTCTGGTCACTTTGAATCGTAAGTGGCTCTTTTCTGGTCATTGGTACGACCACCCTTGAACCCCAGGGCCTGATTAAACACTTACGAGGCACTCAGGACACTTAGGAATTTGGGGCCTCTTATACCACTGGCGATGAATAATAGATAAATAAAAGCTTGAGGATGATTAATCTTTAAGCAGCTCTCCTGCTGCTGTGCAGGACTGAATATAAATGCCGGCGTGAGTTGTGGCTGGCCAGGCAGGGCCGGGCCTCTCCTCTCGGGTCCTGGGCCCCCAACTTCCTTAGTTTCTCCCAGCAGGAACTGTTCTCTATCCAGCCTCTTCCCGGGGCTCTGCTTTCTCCCCACCAGTCTTTCACAGGGTCCTTCTTCCCTGCCCTGGTCCCCTTCCCTCCTCAGAGACCCATCTACCCTCCAGCAGCCCCAAACTGCTCCTCTTTCTGAAGGGCCTTTGCTGGGACAGAGGGAGCTCTCAGAAATGTGCTGCAGGAGGAGGGCATTGGGCACATCTGGCCTTCTGGAGAAGATGAGGGCTTAAGAGACAGAAACAAAGACAAAGAGGTGTGCAACAGCTCTCTTAAAATATTTCTAAGTCTCTTAGTGGGGCTTAGATGTGTTCATGCAGCTCCCAAGGATGGCGTTAACACCAACGGGCAGAATTAACATGGGGAAACACTTTTAGAATATTGTTAACAATTTACGGATGTCCAACAAAGATCTGGGCTCCCAGAGGTGGTAGTGAGGTCCCCGTCACTGGCTACATTCAAGCAGAGGTTATGTGATCACCTGTCAGGGACATTGCGGAGGAGATTTCTACCCCGGATGAAGTACTGGAGCTCTGAGGGTCTTCCAGAGCTGGAGCAGTGCTCCTGGGGATGGGCTGTTAAGGGCACCCATTCCTGGTCAGTGGAGGTAGCTGGGATCCTCCACCAGGCTCCCAAGGGTGTTTTTGGGTGCATCCTGTGTGGCTGAGCCTTGCAGGCTCACGTCTTCATGGCTAGCATTGTCCTCAACATGCCATCAAATGGCCCTGCCCTCCACAGCTGTTCGGGCCTGGCCAGAGATGCTACAAGCCATCATCTGTACACCCAAGAGCACCGCCTCCCCTCCTGCCAGCCCTTCCTGCCCTCTGCTGGGCTTTGGAAGGAGCCCGGGGAAGCTAGGCTGGCTCTGCCCAGGGCGGGGTGAGGGGCTGGACGTGGGTGTTGTCCACACTCTCCCTGCTGCAGCTGCCCTTGGTGAAGCTGGCTTATGGCCCCCAGCCCCTCCGGACCAGCCTCTGGATCCCGCGGTCCTGTGATCAGCCCCTGGTCTCCTGCAGGCTTCTTGTCTGGAGCTGGTGTTTTTGTTGTCTTGCACGCTATCAGCGGCAGGATTTTGCTCTCATCAGCTGCTGAAAACATCAGTGATGGGTTTGTTTGTGTTTGCCTAATTAGGCAGCGAGCCGTGATACCATCCCACAGCATCTTCGGAAAGTGCAGGCCCAGAAGTGCAGGCTCTGTCTGAGGAAGCTCTAGCTCCTTCCACGGCATCCTTACTCTTTCTTGCTATTTCCGGGGCAGGAAGCAACATTTTTGGGAGTCTGGGTTCTACAGACAAATTGCCTGGGTTCCAACTTGGCTGGAAGCTCCGTCACTTCCTAGCTCTGTTGTCTTGGGTCAGTTACTTTAATTTCTTTATGCTTCCGTTTTCTCATCAAATAGGGACAATGCTAGTACCTTACAGAGTTATCTTCACCCTAACACCATAAGATAGGATAATCTAGGTAAAGTGCCTGGCACACAGTAAGTAGTCTGTAAATGCTGGTTTAATGTAACAGTGCTGCAGGGCAGCCCAAGAGGGCTCCTCCCATCTTTAGGAGGAAGATCAGACCAGGTACACAGGCTTTGGGGGTTAGGAGCCAGGGTCCCACACATTGGGACTGGGCATAAGTTTGAATCAATTTCTTCCTCAGCTGTGACTTTATTTACCTGCCAAATAAAGGGGGAAAGCCTTCTTTTTCTCCTCGTGAATCATTGTAGATTTATGAGATCCTGTCTGAGAAGTACTTGAGCTTCTTAGAAGAAAAATGTTCCATCAATATGAGGCAGTATATTTATAAATCACTTCCTTCGACTGTTTTTTCCAGCCTCGGTGACCAGAAAGACAGTGAGGTCTTCCGTTCAGGCATCACTCCTGGTAGACTGGATGGGGCCACACATTTAAAATAGAAGAGGGCAGAGCTGCAGCCGGACGAAGTCCCCTGACGCTGGGCTCCAGTCTCCTTGTAGTATTAAGTGCTCTGCAAATATGTGCAGAACTGAATTCTCTACTACCCTCACTTTCTTATCAGGCAAGAAACCAGTGTTTATTGAGCATCTATCATTATTGTCATGATGCTGTTTTGGGGGGTGATCAAATACAGAGAAACTTCACACTCGAGTCTGAGTTCATTGGCTCTGCAAGAAGAGGGCTGACCTTTCTATCCACAGACCAAGTTGGAGAGGAAGCAGACCCCAGTTCCATCATTGCCCCCCAGCACATAGCAGGGCCCAATCCTCCATCCCAGAAAGCCATTCATGGAAGTGGATGCCAGAGGGTCAATTATCCACGTGGTGGTGACCACTTTGTGAGCCATCCATGGTGTCCTGTGGCCTCCGCTTGCCCAGAGACCCAACAAGACCCCGGGCCCTCACCGAAGCTGAAAGCCGCTGGCCGGGAACTCAGAGCCTCCTTAACTAGCAGCGTTAAGAGCCACGCGGAGTGTGAACGTTTCAGGTTTGGGAGGCTCCTTGTCATTTCCCCTGTCCCTCTGGGGTAAGGGAGTTCAGAGTCCCTGAAATTGGCTGGTTCCCATAATACTTAAATTTTATGGCCGCACAGTATATTTTGGAGCTATTGTGTATTTTATCCCTGCTCAGCTGGGCTGCAGCTCTGAAGCCCTGTGATGCCTTTGACCGTTGCTATAATGTTTCAATATACATTTTTGGCGAGACATAACTCCCATTTTAAAATATTAATTTCCCAACCGTCATGTTCCCAAGTGCGCTTGGATTTTTATTTTTCCTGTAGCTGCATACCACGAGAGAGGCAAAGCTACTTCTCGGTGGCATTCGTATTTTTCTCTCCTTCTCCACCCTAGACGTTCTCCAGTCCCAGAGACACCCACATCCCTCGTTCTGAATTTCATAGTTTATGCTTAGCTTGGCGAACAGCCACATGCCTCCCCTCCCGGGGCGAGAACAGTAATGGCTGACGGATGAGTGACCAGGAAGATGATCTCATTCTTTTTTCTCCCAGGGGAGAATATGGATTGGAAAGGTGTCCATATGGGCCTATGGGTTGACACTTACAATAGTTAACAGGTGATGGGGCTTGGGCACCAAGCAGGCAGCTTAGATGCCAGTCACCAGCAGTCACAGGAGCCCATCTTTGCTGAGTACCAGTCTGGGTGGGCTGAATAAGATTTGGAATTTATTTTAAACACTTTTCTTTTCTTCCCATCACATGGTAACCCCTCAAACCAACCAGGTTTCTTTGACTTCAATCTGCTTGGCTCCCTTAATGGACGGGAGGCAGGAAGAACCAGGTTGTGACTTAAGTGGGGAATACATTTTGGACCAAGAAACAAGAACACGGTACTTCTGGAAATCTGACTTTATGAGACATGTGTTTGACCCTGGAATGGACCCTCCAGGGCAACAGTGTGTTAGGTGCAGAACTGACTGCGAGAGTGAGGACTGACTCGTATTTCATCAGTCGTCAGAGGAGCCCTCAAGGTCCTGTGGATTCTGGCCCCCGGGCCAGCCTTGCCTGACTCTGCCCATGGGATCTGCAATGAAAGGTGAGATTTAATCCTCAAACCCCCATGAAGATGCAGTTTCCTAGGAGGGTGGGTGGGTGGGCAAGGGAGGGGCGAGTCCCAGGCCTTTCTGAGGAGACCCGGGGGCACTCACTTGAGAGGTCCCTGCCCACGCCCAGAGCCAAGCCGTCTTTGATCCACAGAACGAAGCCATCATATTCGGGGATGGCGCACAGCAGGGTCACCGGCTGCCCCGACACCACGGCCTGGTCCTGGGGCTGCTGGCTGAAGGAGTACACTTGACCTAGGAAGGAAAAAACACAGCAGCCAGTTACTTGCAGAGAGCGGTGCCTAGAGGGCTTCCCCTCAAGTTGTGAGAGCAGAGCCCAGGCTGGCCCAGGGGACCGGGGCCCACGGAGTGCCTCACTTTCTGCCTGGGGTCCAGCAGTGCTTCCTCGCTGCTCCCAGCTCAATCCTCCGCTTTCAGGAGCCGGCTCCCGGCTGCAGCATCCCTGCTCATCAACCCTCAGCGCACTTGCACTGTGGTCCAGCCATCCTCCAGCCCGCATACGGGCCGCGCCCCACTGCGCTTGGGACATGCTGCTCCCCTTTCCATTTCACGCCACTTCCTGGCACCTAGTTCCACGAGAGGGCAGAGGCAGGAGGGAGACCACCAGCCAGAGGCTGTCTGCAGGGGGTGTGCTTCAAGAGGGCAGCGGGCGTGGGGGTTGGTGTGCTTCAGCTAAACCTGAGAATCCAAGAAATAATCTTACTGTTTTCGTGGCTTCCAGGATGGTACTGGGGCCAAATTCAGCGGGATGAGGGGTGGTGCAGTGTGGTGGGTGGTGTGGGCGAGGGAGCAGGTGATTAATCCTCTCCACCTGTCCTCCTGTCCTTTTCTTTTCTGCAGTGGACACTACCCCAGCCTCACTCTCACTTGGGAGCAAATCACCCAGTGTGATCCCATGCCTTCCCCACTGACACTTCACTGAACCCGCTAAGCAGCCTGTTCCTATGTTACTAAAGAGACACCCCCAGTGTGCATAATAGGCCAGGTATCGTTCTGGGATGTAAGAATGTCGGCTCATTAACATTTTCACCCTCATAACAACCTAATAGGTAAGTACTACTTTTATCCCCATCTTCCAGATGAGGAAGTGAAGCCCAAGGAGGGGAAAACAGTCACAGGAGCCGTGCATGTTAATTACTCACCAGGTGCCCTGTCTGCCCTCCCTGTGGCTGTCACGGTCCCCACACTGGTCGTGTGGAGCCTTAACAACCTCAATTCGCGGGGACTCAGCACACAGAGCCCTAGAGGTTCGCTAAGTTGTCCAGGGAGCATCAGGCGGTGGGACCAGGGCTGTGAATCCAAGGCTTTCTGGCTCTAATGACTGTGTCCTCATCTCCCGAGCTGTGCTGAGTGCAGAGTCCCGTGCCCGGCCTTGGATCAGGAGGGTGCTGAAGAAGGAGGGTGCTGTGACCCACGCACGTTCCCTGGGAGTCCACAGTTGAGTGGACAACAGGACACAGGACACTGATGCCCACTGAGCTCCTGGCCCACAGCGCCACCTGTGTTTCACAAGCCGTCCCTCTTGTAACCGTGTAATTACAGTTTGGAGCAGAACTATTTCCATTTTATAGCAAAGAAACCCAGATCAGAGAGGCAAAGTAACCTGCTGGAGGTCACACAGCTAACGAGTAGGGTTTGTCTGGGGTCCATGACTTCTAGGCCTGGATTCTTTCCCACACCCTGATTTGCACATACAGATACACAGCCCAGGGAAACTGGACCTAGTGGGCAGGCTGCTGCCACGGCCCCTCTCCCCCCACCCGAGGGAGTCAGGGATGGCCACGGAGGTCCTGGACAATGACGCTTGCCCATCTTGGGGATACAAAAGCCCCAGACTCGGACGACGGTTAGGGCCAAGCTCTCAGCGGCAGATGGCCCTAAGAAGGGAGACTGGTGTGTGGCTCCGAGAGACGCTGGGAATGGTGGCAGAGGAGAGACAGAGGCCCATATCGGAGAGTTTGTGGCAGGTGGGAAGGTAGCTGATGAGATCTTGGCTGGATCTCTAAGGCATCTCATTAAAAATCAGATTGGCCCTGAATTGTGGGAGTAACATTTTTTATTCTGATTTGAGCTTTACAAATTAGATTTCATAGGACATTTTAATCAGTTATATGTGGAGGTTCCCCCCACCCCCCGCCGTCTCTTCAAGTTCTCTGTTGTAATTAGACTGTTTCTGGCACCAAAACAAGAGAGAGAAGGCGGGTAGAGATGAGAGAGAAAAGCTGGAGGGGAAGGGAGATTCTGGAGAAGGAGCGAGAAGGCGAGGGGGTGAGCAGAGCAGGAGAGGAACAGGGAGGAAGGAAGAAAAGCGAGAGAGAGAGACGGAGGGAAGACGTCAGGGAGGAGAGGAGAGGGGGTGAGGAGGGTGCAGGGAGAGGGTGAGTGGGCAGGGAGACGGGTCCTCTCCTAGGCTCCTTCCCCAGGCTCTAATGATGATTTCACGGCACATTCTTTTATCTTAGAATCTTTCTGGCAAGAAGGACAGTGTCAAGACAACTGCAATAGCTTGCAAAGACTGTGTTAGCAGAGCGAATTATCAGGTTGTCAGTGGGGAGCTGAGGGAGTTGGAATGAGCAGGTCCTGCAGCAGGGTGCCTGAGCCCTTGGGATGCTCACGAGCAGGGAGGCCTGAGATGGGGACTGGCCCATTCTCCCCGCCCCCGATCCCGCTTCCGCTTGGTGTTGGTGAGGGTCCCTGAGAAGGTGGGCTCAGGAAGCATCCTGCAGAGGAGCGGGCAGGGGCGTGGGCGAGAAGCCCGAGGGTGGTGGTGAGAGGCAGCTGTCTGTAGGGACGCCTGGACTAGTTCAAAGACCAAAGGATTTGGAGTGAGTGAGTGGAACAGGAGAGAAAGCCTCGGTGCAAACTCGCACTGGAGCCTGATGTGGGGAGCAGGGCGCTAATATCCCTGTGTCCCCTGCAATCCCCCCTCGATCCATGCTCAGAGGTCAGGTCAAAGTGGTCAGGAGACGGTGTGGGTGTGCTCACCCCACCCCCACCGTCTCCCTGGGCACGTTGGCCAGACCTTTGCTCCCACAGCAGGTGGAGGTGAGGTGACAACTGCCCTTGGGATTAATCCCATCCAGACCTGGACAGGAACGTTAGGGCCATTTGGTGAGCTTGCTTGGCTTTTACAGAGCCCAGGGCACGGCCACTCTCACTTGTTCCTTCAGAGGGGGAGCAGCAGGGATGGGGAGGCTGAGTGATGCCCCCAAGGATGTTCAGCAGTCCAGGAGCAGGTGGAGTAAGAACCTCTCTAGTGCCCTGGGAGGCATCCATCACCACCCCTACTCCTGAATTCGGGACAGTCCAGCTGAAGTCCTGCCTGCCTCATGCAACGCCCAGGACGTTCAGCAAAACTTGCTGAGAGTCTGTGCGTGGCCACACTTAACCCAAGTCCTGAGACTACCACGGAGAAAGTAATGGGTCTCATCAAAAGTCACATAAGGTTCTTTTGGGGTTTAAATAAAGGCCTGCTGCAAGCATGGGGTGGGGGAAGAGACAGAGGGGCTTCCTGCAGGAGGAATCAGGAAATGGGGATGTGATGGAGGAGAGATGAAATTCTGGCGCAGGAAAAGCACACACGAAGGCGTGAGTGATGGGCAACCCAGGTACCTGCTTCGAGTATCTGCCCGAAGGGTCACCTACCAGGGCTGGGTCCTGGACAGTGGGAAAAACACAAGGTCAGGCAGGCCTGGGAAGGAACTCCAGCCCTATCACTAGCGGTATGATCTGGGGCACTTTCCTCGCTCACGCTGAGCCTCGCTTTCCTCATCTGTAAAATGGGGTGACATACCTCCTTTGCCAAACTGCTGTGAGGATGCGAGGCCTCACGTGGAAGTGATCTGGGCGCATGCAAAGTGCTTCCTCAAGGTTGGTTCTAATTTTCATCACTATTCATGAGCCTTTCCTGAGCCCAGGACTGCTAGGACTGGAGCCAGAGCAGCCCCTGTCATGACGGGTCCCAGAGCCGGGCAAGGAGGCTTTGCAAATCTGAAGTTGGCCCGATTGGAATCTGCTTCTTCCCGTGAGTCACGCAGGTGAGAGATGTGAGCATTTGATCCTCCCGCAGCTCTGCCTTTGCCGCGGCCCCAGCCGGCTTCAGCCTCCCGGAGCTGCCTGGTCAGCCATGCAGAAAAGGCTCAAATGTCACCGTCTGCTCTGTTATTAGTGACCAAAAGAGGAAGGATCAAGAGTACCTGCACCAGGGATATTTGTCGCCAGCTTTATCCCAGCCTGGAGCACGCAAATTGCCTCTTAAGAGATTAAGGGAAGCCGCCCAGGTCTGGAGAAGCAAGCAGATGGGAGGAAGGGAAGGAGTGAGTCAGCCCCCCGCCCAGCTGGCACCAGAACAAGGCCAGGCGGGGTGGAAGGGACCAGGGCAGGATGGCTCAGATCCCACCTGGAAGCCCAAGTCTCGACTTCGGCTGTTTTCCTGCTGCTCAGCACAGGACCAGCTCCTAATGCAGGAGAATGAGCTTTGGGAAATTTCCAGAATGCCCTGTCGTGACCCACTCGGGGGAACGAGATTGGGGGTGATGGGGTTATGTCCTAGCCCCTGACTGACTGATTGTGACGGAGAGTGTAGCGGTACTGGTGATATGCCACGGGCCACAGGCGCGGGCGAGTCCCACCCAGGTCCCACCCTGACAGCCTCCAGGACCCCTGACCGGGTGTGGGGCTGCAGGGGAGGGAGGGATGTGTCTTCCGTGACAAGTAGCTTAGTGTCTGGAGGAGACACATATGTGCACAGGGAGCTAAAATAAAAGGTGTTGTATAAAGTGAGGTATAAAGGAAGTCCCAAGGATGTAACAAAGAAACAGATTCAGAGATACAGAGAACAAACGAGTGGTTACCAGCAGTGTGTGTGTGTGTGTGGGGGGCAAGATAGGGATAAGGGATTAAGAGGCACAAGCTACTGTGTGTAAAATAAATAATCTACAAGGATGTATTATACAACACAGTGAACAGAGCCCATGTTTTATAGTAACTATAAATGGAGTATAACCTTTAAAACTTGTGGATCACTATGTTGTACGCCTGAAACTTATATAATAATAATGACAATAATAAAAAGAAAGTCCTACGAAGAAAGATTTTTCCTTCTGAGGGGCGTCACGGAAGGGTTGGCTTTGGAAATGGCCTCGAAGGGGAAGCAAGGAGGGAGAAGGTTCCCTGGGATGGGGCCCAGGGTAGGGGAAGCCTGGGGGCCAGAATGTGCTCAGGGAATAAGAGCA